GGTGCCCTCAGCTCTCTTGACCTTCTCATGGGATGCAGCTGTGTTGGAGGATGTCAAGGCTGCAGGGGCCAAGCCAGACTCGTCCATCCTGAAGCCTGAACTGCTGTCGGCCATTGAGAAGCTCTCATAAAATAAAAGCAGGGTTGGCCTCCACCACATGGTCTGTCTTGTGCTCACCCTGTCCCCATCCCCATAGAACCTCCAGCCACTTCTGGAAACACATGCCCTGCTCCAGGAACACAGGAGGGGTGCTGGCTGGCTGGGGAGCCCTGACGGCAGGGGAGGGTGTGCAGATGTCCGAGTACCCCAAAGCAGGGACAGGGGCAGCACCAAAGCTGAGTCCTCCACCCACTGCTCAGTGGTTGCTCAGACCTCAGGGTGTCTCCCTGGGCAGGAGAGGTCTGCAGCATGGCCTGGTTCTGAGTGCCATGGATGCTGTGGGGAATACTGGTGACACTACTCAATTATGAAACCAAATAAATACAATGTTTCAATATGGCTTCCTAGTGCTTTATTCAGATTGTGTGGCCAAAGGCAGGGGCAGCAGTTGCCAGCTGAGAGGCACATGGGGAACAGGGCCTGGCTACCCAGCCCACAGGGCAGCCACTCTTCCTTGGGAAGGACTTCTGGGGAATATAGCAGGGATTGAGCCCGTGGAGGTTCTGAAAGGCAAGTGATCTCACAGGGTTACCTTTGCTGTGAACCACAGAACAGTGTTCCCCAAAGATGGCTGTGTCCTGGTTCTGGAATTACAGCTGTTACTTCCTGTGGCAAAAGGGACTTTGCAGATATGTTAAAGGATCTTGAGATGGGAGATAATCCTGGATGACCCAGATGGCTCAGTGTCTTCATAAGAGGCAGGAAGGTCAGAGGCAGAGATTGGAAGATACTGCACTGCTAGCTCCAAAGGGGAAATTAGAGGCCTGGGCAGCCTCTAGACACCAAAAAAGGTGGGAGACAGGTTCTTTTTTTTTTTTTTTGAGACAGAGCCTCAAGCTGTCCCCCTGGGCAGAGTGCCCTGGCATTACAGCTCACAGCAACCTCCAACTCCTGGGCTCAAGCGAGTCTCCTGCCTCCGCCTCCCAAGTAGCTGGGACCACAGGCGCCCGCCACAACGCCCGGCTATTTTTTGGTTGCAGCCATCATTGTTGTTTGGCGGGTCCGGGCTGGGGATTCGAACCCGCCACCTTAGGTGTACGTGGCTGGCGCCTTAGCCGGTTGAGCTATAGGCGCCGAGCCGGGAGACAGGTTCTTCCCTGTCTTTAGTCCAGTGAAGCCTATGTCAGACTCCTGATCTCCACAGCTGTCAGATGACAAATATATGTTGCTTTAAGCTGCCAAATTGGTTACAGGACTTACAAGCTCACAGGGACATGTGCCGTGGTTCCTATAGCTTACTGGTGGGCAAGGGGTCTGCACCCAAATGGTACCTGGACCTGGGTTCTTGTCCACTTACCTCAGATGGCCCCTCCCCTCACTCCAGGCTGACCCTATGTGGTTGGTCTTCATGAGGGCACCTGGGTCCCCTCTCCCTGGACCATCCCTAGATAGAAGCCTGTTGTCACTGCTCCTCTGGAAACTGTCAACTGAGTGATGGAGACTTGAAGCTTTGAGGCTGTAAATGTGACTTTTTTTTTTTTTTTTTTTGAAACAGCCTCTAGTCGCCCTGGGTAGAGTGCTGTGGCATTACAGCTCACAGCAACCTCCAACTCCTAGGCTCAACAGATTCTCTTGCCTCAGCTTCCCTAGTAGCTGGGACTACAGGTGCCCGCCACAACGCCTGGCGATTTTTTGGTTGTAGTTGTCACTGTTGTTTGGGAGGCCCGGGCTGGATTCGAACCCGCCAGCTCTGGTGTATGTGGCTGGAGTCTTAGCCACTTGAGCTACAGGCGCTGAGCCTAAATGGATCTTGCTCTGTCACCCAGGCCTCAGTGCAATGCTGTCATCATAGCTCACTGCAGCCTCTAATTCCTGGGGTCCGGAGTAGCTGAGACCACAGCTGTGGGCCAACGGGTCTCCCAGTAGTGATTTTAAAAGTATTCTGTTAGGCTGGGTGAGATGGCTCATGCTTATAATGCTAGCACTCAGAGAGGCCGAGGTGGGTGGATTGACTGAGCTCAGGAGTTTGAGACCAGCCTGAAAAAGAGCAAGACTCCATCTTAAAAAAAATAGCCAGGTGTTTGGCAGGTACCTATAGTCCCAGCTACTTGGGAGGCTGAGGCAAGAGGACTGCTTGTGCTTAAGAGTTTGAGGTTGCTGTGAGCTATGACACCATGGCACTCTACCAAGGGTGACAAAGTAAAACTGTCCCCCCCAAAAGTATTCTCCTCTTAGAAAAAATTCAGCCAGGAGATTCTAGGATGCCTTTTTGTCCCTCTTAAGCCACTGGCAGCTGTTGTTTCCCTGTCTGACATCCCTAACCTGTAAGCTGCTTGGGGCAGGAGCTGAAGTCTTGTTTGCTGCCCTATCTTTGGACCCCAGCACTACCTTGGCCAATGGTAGCTGCTTAGCTGGAAAATAGAGCCCCTTACTCTGGTCTCTCCCACGGCCCCTGTGTGCCTCCAGTTGTTACCAGGACCTGAGCTGTCAAGTATGCATTAAAATTAGTCTAAGGAACTGCACAGGGGTATGGTCTCTACTTTGGACATGTCTATACCCTGCCTCCCAGCAGGAGGGTCTGGCCAGTGGGGATGGACTGGCCTACTGGCTGGGCTCAGGCCTGGCACCCTACAATTGAGGTGTTTGCCATTCCCACCCACATGGGGCCAGGGAGGAGCAGGACCAGGTGGGGCAGCTGTGGGCTTGCTGTGTCCAGCTCATGCTGAGTTACTGTGCACACTTACAGCCAGTTCCCTGCCCTGTGGCAGTGGGGACAGGAACACCATGACCTGAAGGTGGAAAGGATGCCACCTCTTCAGACCCAGCACCCCTGAAGACACACCTGACATAGGGTCCAGCACAGGTGACCCAAGAGGACTTCAGGAATATACCTTTCTCATCCATCTGAGGGCAAGGTGAGCTGACTGGTACTGAGGATGGCACTTCTACAGGGCACATATGGGCTGGGCTGAAGTCAAACCCACATAGCCACTCAAAAAGGTGCTATTTGTTTAAGGAGACAGAGAGACAAGAGACCAGATCAGGGCTAGAGAATAAGTTTATACACTTCCACACAGAGCCCAGGTGCCCACGTCACACAGCTCTGGAATTTCAATTCATTTACAAGCATCTGATCCCAGCACCTGCTCTGCGCCTGCAGGGCATGAGTAGGCTCCTGTACAGATCATCACATCTCAATAATGCTTTATTAAAGGGCAGATTAATATGCAGCTTTTGGTGACATTTTTACAAATATCAAAAAGAACTAATCAAGCATCCTCTATAAAACTTTCCGAACCTTTGGGAGGTCCGTGAAGCAGGACAAAGTGCTCTTTACACAGGAGTTGGGTGTCTGTTCAAGTGTTTGGTTCATATCCAAGAATACCCCAACCACTCTACACACACATGCCAACTGACCAGGAGGGATGACCTCAGGAGGTGGTGAGTGGGCTTGAGGGCAGGGGGCTCTTGCTGGTGTCCATTCCCAATGCAACCCCAGTTCTGGAAGTGGTTCCACATGGGGCCTGGACTTCTGGGGGCAAGAGAGGAGGGGTCTCAGACTGGTTGTGTCTATCTGGCTGTCAGACAAGGAGACCCCTCGCAGTCAGAAGCGGGGGGGAGTCTCAGGCTACTGGTCCCCCTGCTGAAGAGCTCTACCAGACCCTATCCCTGCTGCCCCTCACTCAAAGCATAGGTGAACTCAGCACCCTTCCACCTCGCATGCTTGCTCCAGGGCCTGTGCACATCCCTCAATGAGGACTTCCCCGACTACTCCAAGACCCCCACCCCATACCCTCCTGGCACTGTGGCCAGAGCAGTCATGTGCCAGTCTGTTGTCCTCACATCCATGAACCAGAGTCTTGCTTGGTTGCCACTGGAGGGAGAGCCTCAGCAACCCTGCCCCTCCCTCAATGGTTTTCGTCTTTTGTCGTTACATGCACTTTCTGGTATTACTTCTCAGTGAACTTGACCCTCAAGGGAAGGAAGCTCCCAGGGCAAAGTCAAAGAAATAGGCAACACCAGGCTGAGGGGTTTTCAGAGCTCACACTGCCAAGGAGCATGGAATGCAGCTCCCCAAGCCAAAGAGGCAGCTGCCTTCCTTTTCCCTGGAGAAGCTTATTCAGAAGCTGTGACTGCAATAGTTCCCAGCCAGCCCTCCTTGGTTTTCTAAAGATAGCCTTTCAGTCAAAGACAGATCCTACAGGGCCTGGGCTGGAACCTCTGCCAGCCTCACTCCCCTCCAGGCTTCAGCTCAACCCCATGTCGTTCACAGAGTGAGGGGTAGGCATTCTCCCCTTCCTTATGAGTCTAAATGCCCAGGTGGGTAGAGCCCTCCTTACCCCCAGCGTCCAGGGCATCCATGAGCACACAATCACCATCACCGTCCTCCTCCTCCTCTTCCTCTTCCGTGTCTGCCTGGAAGCCGTCCATGTCCTCAGCACCAACCTGGGCAAACAAGGTGCATAGCCGTTGGCAGGGCAGGTGATTGCCTTGCTGGCATTCTGAGGGAAGCCCTCCTCATGCTCCCCAGACACTTGGGTGGCAACAAACTGCCCTGATTTGAGAAGTTTGTTTGGTACCTTCCTTATGTTTAGAGAAACAGGCACTTAACATTGTGTTGCAGTTGTCCACACCATTCAGGACAGTAATCTACTATACAAGGGTGTAGCCTGAAAGCAAACAGCCATAGCACACGGCCTGGTGCTCGGTGGGCTCTAAAGTCTAGGTTTATCTAAGCATACTCTGTGACACTCTCAGACACTCTGTGGCAAAATTGCCTGATGATGCATTTCTCTGAACATTGTTAAGCAATGCATGACTATAACTTGTGAATTACTTTTTTTTTTGAGACCTAGTCTCACTATGTCGCCCTGGGTAGAGTGCCATGGCATCACAACTCATAGCAACCTCAAACTCTTGGGCTTAAGCGATTCTCTTGCCTCAGCCTGCCAAGTAGCTGGGACTACAGGCGCCCACCACGATGCCAAGCTATTTTTTGTTGCAGCTGTCAGTATTGTTTAGCTGGTCCAGGCTGGGTTTGATTGAACCCGCCACGCTTGGTGTATGTGACTGGTGCTATAATCACTGTGCTACCAGCACCGAGCCACTTGTGAATTACTTTTGACTCAAAAAGAAATTCTGGATTTCTGGTTTGGTTGGAAAGAGAAATTGACATAAAGCATCCATTCTTCTCTGACTTTATTACTTTAACTATACGGCTGGGAATCAGCCAGTTGGTATTTTCTCCTCTGTGCATTTCCCCACCTCTGCCCCAGACTGTCTTTTCATTGGAGTTTGGCTCAGACCAGCTCTGCCAGCAAGACCACCACTGAGGGTTGGGCACAGTAATCCCAGCACTTAGGTGGATTGCCTGAGCTCACAGGTTCAACACCAGCCTGAACCAGAGCAAGACCCTGTCTCTAAAAAATAGCCGGGCGTTGTGGTGGGTGCCTGTAGTTCTAGCTACTTGTGAAGCTAAGGCAAGAAGAATAGCTTGAGCCCAAGAGATTGAGGGTGCTGTGAGCTGTGACTGCCACAGCACTCTACTGAGGGTGACAAAATGAGACTCTGTCTCAAAGAATAATAACAACAAAACAAAACCACCTGCATTATCTGGGGCAAATGCAGATGGGGCCAGAAGGATGAGGTGGGGTGGGGAAGGCCTCTCCCAAGGTTCTGAATTTCTGGTGAGATATCTTTAACAGTTTTCATTTGCTTTTATCACAGAAAAACGCACAAAGTGGTAGGACTGATTTCAAACATAAGCCTCCACAAGTGTGCTCACATTTTCTGCAAGCAAGTAAAACAATCCCAGAAGAAACAAACACACTTATTTCAACAGGGAGGCTATTTCTCAAAACTTTTGGAATTCTTTGCCAAAAATCCCATTTGCCTAGAAAAGCCACCTGGTTTCCTGGTCCAGCATTTAAGAGTGTAGTGTCTAGCCAGGCAGACTGGGTCCAAATTTGCAGCACTGCCAATTCCTGGGGTGGATGTTCCACTCCTGGGCTGCCCCCTTCTGCAGCTGAAAGGCTTACTACTGTGAGGATGCTCAGGGCTACTTCAAAGAACTGTAAGACCCCCTCAAAACTTCCTGTGACAGTCACTGGGACCTGGGATTGCTGAGGAAGAATAAACCCTTTCCTTTAGCACTGCCAACACCACTGGGCCATTTCTGCACACAGGAAATGCAAGTTTTTGACACACTAGGTTTGCTTTGGATCTAAAACTTCCTAGAGCAATCGCCATCCTTCACACATTTTTAAGGCCTGACATAAGACAGGCCTTAAAATGTGATGTGAAGTCCCACTATGCTCAGAGCTGTGGGCAGCTTGTTCTAACAGAAAAGCTGTCACCTTGCAGCCACCACTACATGTGCTAAATATAGACACAGAAGAGTCAAAGCTCCATAAAATAATAGTTAGGAACATTTAGCAACCATGGTGATGGAAGATGGTTCTTTCCATGTCGCTTTGGTATCACAATGTTTTTTAGTGAAGAGGGCAAATATACCTGCCACATTTAAAATTTTTAAATAAAATTGAGGCCTTGGGCAGCATCTGTGGCTCAAAGGAGTAGGGTGCCAGCCCCATATGTTGGAGGGTGAGTTCAAACCCAGCCCTGGCCAAAAACTGCAAAAAAAAAAAAAATACAAAAAGGCCTTAAGGAGTTGAGGTATCCTAGGGCTACACAGACATTCAGTAGCAGAGCTGGAGCCCAAACTTGGGCCTATTGGTCCCACGAGGTTAGGAGTCCTTATGAATACTCATTCTGAGCTCTCAATGAAGAAATTATAAGGCTCTCAAAAATAAAACAGCTTGACCTAATCAAAAATATGCACACACCCCACCCCACTCATAGCTTAGCAACAGCTATCCTTCCCTGAGGTTATGAAATCATTGGTCAGTAGCTATAGCAGACATCAGGGGAAGGTCCCACCCAGCCTCTCCTATGCCCCTCAACCCAATATCTGCAGCTTAGGTCCTCCTTGCTACATGTTTAGAGATGTTCTCTTAACCCAATTCCTTGTAAGACAGAACAAAGAATTCTCTTTGGAGGGAGGGGGCCAAGCTCTCATTTCCCAGGCTCTCTGGCAGCTAGAAGTAGCTATGGGGGTTATAATAAGCAGCCTCTCCAGGGAAGGCCCTGGCAGCCCCCATTCTGCAACCACAAAAGGGTTGGCAGGAGCCAGATGCCCCATGTTTTCTTCTCCAAAAGGGCTATGGGCATCCCCTTCACATCAGATTCTCTGAGGAGAGCCTTCACAAATGGTGACTTTAGGACCCCCTGCCCTCTCCCTCCCTCGGGAAGGATGTCATGCTCAGGACACTGAACTTTCTACTCTGCTCTCTTGAGGACATGTGCCCCAAATTATGGCAGGCTCATAGGGGCAGCAGTTAAACACACAGCAAATCTTGCTCCTTGACTCACTCCTGTCTGGCCCTCAAGTCTTCCTGTACTCATGGCAGGGAGCAGAGGCTGTGGTCCACTTATGCTAACAAGGGAAGTTAGGCTTCCTGGACACCCACATCTCTGACCTGCCTTAGTCTAACTGGGAGTGTTATTTCTTTCCTGGGGATTGGGTACCTTGAAGCATCCTACCACTCATGAAATGCAGTAACTGATAAATGGTATTTGGCATGATTATTGTTTTCTGTGGACAGAACACAGGTTACATACATTCACAAGGATGGCCACGACGGACAAGGCAGGGTAATGCTCAGGGACCCAGCTGTGTTCCAACATGGGAGGACCAGGGGCTGAGATGCTATACCCCATGCTGTTGAGAGTGGGTTGCCCTGACAGACAAGGTGGGAGAAGGCTGGGGATGTCATCTAGGGTAGACAAGGAGAGCATGACAGAACACTCCAGAAGCACAGGGGTTCCCCAGAGGAGGGTAGCTGACCAGGTCAGCGGCCTATGAGCACTGCTCAGATAGTGCCACCAACTAAGGGCCCTTCCAGACCCAATCATTGTCCATGTGGGGCACTCCCCTTCCCTGTGCTCATCTTAGCCACTGCAGCCATGCGTGGGCCCCTCTGAGACTGTTTGGGTAACAGAAACAATGATGACACCATCCTGCTGCTCAAACAGGGGCTTGAACAGACACCATCATTCAGGGAAAGTGTTGGCTTGAAGCCCTTGCTGCCAATACTGTGAGCACTGGCCATGCTGAGCCACATCCACAGGCAGCTAAGCATACCCATAAGCCATGCAGACATGGGGGCTCAGGAGCAGCAAAACAGTTGCATCACCACCACCACTGTGCAATGTTCCCTTCAAAAGTGACAGCTTAGGGAGCCCTGTGGCATGTCAAAGGCCACATGTGTCTGGTGGCAGCAGGGAGCAAGACATCATCTCAGGAACAATTTCTCCCATCTCTCTGCCCTCAACGACCAGTTTTATTGTCAGAGCAGTGGCCATGAGGTAGGGGATTCGGGATGTCCACTGTGTACCTCATGTCTTCCTCCTCTGCCACCACCTCACCTTTAGGCACGAAGTTCCCTGAGATGCACCTGCCTCTGGGTAGGGCTATGGGACTAAGGCAGAGATGCTGGCTCTTATGCTGCCTTCAACCTGTCCTCTAAAACCAAGTTTCTAAAAAACTGTAACTTGGGCAGCACCTATGGCTCAAAGGAGTAGGGCACTGGACCCATATGCCAGAGGTGGGTGGGTTCAAACCTAGCCCCAGCCAAAAACTGAAAAAAAAAAAAAAAATACTGAGAATTGCTTAAGCCCCAGAGTTTGAGGTTGCTGTCAGCTGTGATGACATAGCATTCTACCAAGGGTGATACAGTAAGACTCTGTTTCAAAACAAACAAACAAACAAACAAACAAAAACCTGTAACTCTACCAGATGCCAGCCTCAGATGAAGGTCCAACACTCATGGGACAATGTATGAAGAGAAACTTAGGTACATTCATAGTTCAGGGAGGACAGAAAGTATACAGTGAACATTAACAAAGCCCATCTGTAGCCAGGGGTGGGCTCCAGGGACCCCTATCTTTCTCAGCACAAGGGTTTCCTTTCCTGAGAACAGGCAGCCTCCTATATCACATCCCACAGCTCCATTTTACTGGCTCCTCCAGGCACTTATCAGTTTGTAATCATACAGCAAACCACCCAGTGGGCTCCTGTCTATGTCTCAGCCAGATGGCATTGTGAACCTCCCTTTGCCTACAAGATGTGGCAGGGTGCCTGGTGCGGAAGCAGTGCAAAATAACTATGCTCAATGAACACAGAGATAAAGAATGAAAGGACAAAAATAACAAAGTGACCACATGGAATATTATTCAGTATGAAAAAGAAATGAGCTATCAAACCACAAGCAGACACAGAGGAGTTGTCAATGCACATCATGTATTGCTAAATGAAAGAAGCTACATAACATGTGGTAGCAGCTATAGGCTATTCTGAAAAAGCAAAACTATGAAGATAGGAAGAAATCAGTAGTTGCCAGAGGAATGAACAAGTGATTCACAAGGGATCTTAGGGCAGAGAAACTTCTCCATACAATCCTATCATGGCGAACACATGCCATTCTCCGTGTGCCCAAATCACAGAATATTCAAGAACAAGAATGAACCCTAATGTATACCGTGGAGCATCCATGATGCCACATTGGGAAGACAGGGATGGGGTGGGGATACAAAAAATATCTCTGTACCTTCTGCTCAATTTTGCTATGAACTGCTCTTAAAAGTACTTTCTTAAAAAATATAAAGCCCTCACAGAAGTACCCCCAAGCCCCAGCAGGCCCTGGCTGCCCCATCACCTGGCCATCATGCCGGCGCTTCTTCATGAACTGGGTGATGCACATGCTTCCTGCAGACTTCCTCTTCAGTGAGATGGGAATCCCCTGGCTGGGCCCTGTGGTGGAGATGCCACCACTGTCCTCTCTGGGCTCTCTGGGGGCTGAGGGAACCATGGTGACGTAGCTCCACTGGCATGGCACAGGCAGGTGCTCTTGGTCGAAGCTCCTCAGTACCCGTGGGTGGACGTACCAGCACATCCTGAAGTCCGGCCGCTTCTCATACACTGAGTTCTCAGAGATGATTCGCTTTAGCAGGGCCTTGGAGGGAATGGCAGTGTCCACAGTAGGGGTCTGTGGGCAGGAAGAGGCGGGGCTTGGGGGACTGCTGGCGCCCCCAGTGAGCAGTCCCCGACGGCAGTGCTCCTGGAACTCCCGGATGATGGCCTTGCTCCCATTCACGTTGCCATGCAGCAGTGGCAGCAGCTGGGCCAGGACTAGTGGGAGGGGGACATGAGTATGAGATGCAGAGACATGTGTACAGACAGTGCTAAGGGGGGAAAAAATGCACATACTTCCACTCTCACTGAGGGCCAATAGGGTAAGGGGGGGCGGTACCCACATAATTGCTCCAGAAGTGACAGGAAGCAAATTCCCACAGCTAATTCCCTCCCATGTTTCCCTCTAAGACACAACCCCTCACTTACTCTGCTGGTCCCTCTTCTCCTTCTTGGAGGCCGTGGGGGTCTGCTCCTCTTCGGCAGGCACTGGCTCCAGGAGGCAGGCTGTGAACTGCTGTAGCACCTTCAGGTCAGCACCCACACAGTCCCCATCTGCAGCCCACACACAGCCAATCTTCACTGGTTGGAGCACACGGAACCGCTTCCCCTTGGCCAAGAATTCATCCCACTCCTGGGCCTTTAGCTTCTGTCGAACTTTGTGGTTCTCCCGGTCAGTACACTCCTGGGAGGTCAGGATGCAGAAGGTTATCTGGGATCTCAGCCCTTCCACTCTGGGGGGGCTCTCCCATGTCCCAGTACCCAGAGGACAAGATGGGGATGCAAAGTTACTTGCGGAGGTGACCACCAAGTTGTTTCCCCCACAGCCCCATGGACATGAGGATGCAGGCAGAGAGCATTTCTCCATTTAACAATGACTCACACTTGACTTCTTTGGCGAGTCAGTTATTTTAAAGACCACCTTTCTTAGCATGAATCTGAATTTCCTGGTCAATGTGGGATCACAGAGCTGCCCCCATAGCCCGAGACCACCCTCTGAGACAGATACTTTTGAGGATGCAATGAGACCCCCATGGGCTTCCCTGGTCTGAGACATATAAGGAGTATATGCCCTTCAAGCTCAAGCCCACTAGACCTCTTACTCAATTTCCACCTCCAAATGCTGTACTCTGACAGGACTTTAGAGCCCTAAATACAGATTCCTCAAAAGTTCGATAGTCTTACAGAACTCAGAAAGTGGTGGTAGGCAGGCCCTCCTGCAAGGACATAGGGGAGTCTTCTGGAGAGACAGGGAAGTACTACACTGTATGTTGGGTAGTGGTTGAACAAATTTATGAAATTGTTGAAAGTCACAAAACAGAATATTTAAGATGTGTGTGTGTCATGGTGCAGGTTAACTGTATTTCAGCTAAAAAGGTTTCCATCCTTCTAACTCATAGACCACAGCTGCTCTCTGATACTAAGGTTTCTGTTCCTATAGCTCCCCTCACTTGGAATTTCCTCTCATCTCCACAAGATCCATCCCCTCCCAGACAAAACCAAGTGAAGGTTCAGCCACTTCTGCAAACCAACCCATGAGAATCCCCTCTGTGGCTGGAATGAGGAGCAGAGCACATGCTGAGTTACCCCAGGCAGGTAGGGAACCACTGTCACTGCTCCTTCCCTCCCTCACCTCCATCACACCTTCATCCTCAGACAGGTACCCATGGGGCACAAAAAACCCATCATCCTCATCTTCATCATCACCCACTTCATCATCATCATCCTCAAAAAGAAAAAAAGGTTAAGTTCATCATATAGGAAAACAAGAGTATGAAAATGTAAACCTATGAAAATGTAAACCAGGATTGGGTACAGTGCTCATTCTTATAATCTCAGTACTTTGGCAGGAGGATCACTGGAGGCCAAGAGTTTAAGACCAGTGAGATTCCATTATTTTTTTTTCTAAAAAAAAAAAAAAAAAAAAAAAATTTTTCTCAAAGTCTCTGTTAACCTAACAGGCCCTTTCAGTGACTTACAAGTTAAAAAAAAAAAAAAAAAAATTTTTTTTTTAATTACCAGGTATAGTGATAGCTCCTGAAGTCCCAGCTACTCAGGAGGCCAAGGAGGGAGGATCACATGAACCCCGGGAGTTCAAGACTAGCCTGAGCAAAACAGCAAGAGACCCTATCCCTAAAAAAAAAAAAAAGAATTTTTTTTTTTTGAGACAGCGTCTCATTGTGTTGCCCTGGGTAGAGTGCCATGGCAGCATAGCTCACAGCAACCTCAAACTCCTGGGCTCAGGCAATCCTCTTGCCTCAGCCTCCCAACTAGCTGGGACTAGTGGATGCCTGCCACAATGCCCAGCTAATTTTTCTATTTTTAGTAGAGATGAGGTCTCGCTTTTGCTTAGGCTAGTCTGGAACTCCTAAGCTCAAGCAATCCATCTGCCTCAGCCTCCCAGAGTTCTAGGATTATAGGCATGAGCCACTTCGACTGGTCTTTTTTTTTTCTGTTCTTCTGAGAAGAGTCTCACTTTGTCACCCTGGGTAGAGTGCTGTGGTATCATAGCTCACATCACCCTCAAACTCCTGGGCTTAGGTAATCCTCCTGCCTCAGCCTCCAGAGTAGCTGAGGCTATAGATGTTTGACATAATGCCCAGCTAATTTTTCTATTTTTAGTAGAGATAGGGTCTTGCTATTTGTTTTTCCAATGTTTGACATTTAGATGAGCTCAGGCTAGTCTTGAACTCCTGAGCTCAAGGGAGCCTCCTACCTGGGCCCCCCAAAGGGCTAGGATTACAGGAATGAGCCACTATGCCCAGGATCTACAAAAAATTTTTAAAAATGGCTCGGCGCCTGTGGCTCAAGCGGCTAAGGCACCAGCCACATACACCTAAGGTGGCGGGTTCGAATCCCCAGCCC